AAATTTCTTCCCAATGCTCATAGCTCCCTTCCACTCTACCTCTCCAGCCTTGTAGAGGGAAGAGGACTGCATTGACCACTGGGGGCTAAACTTGGAGAGGTTAGATTCCTCCAGGGAAAAGACCAGAGTTCATGTGGCATAAATTCAAGCTGATCTATAAGTTCTCCAAAGACCTACTTCTCTTCCTTCATTCTGTTCCAGCCAACTGTGCAGCGGTAGGAGGGTGCTGGAGGCTCCCAGTTATCAATTTACAGAGGGTAAAAAGGACTTTTCTAGCAATCTCCCTGCTTCCCTCCTTGGGGCCTTGGAATCCTAGTCCCACTAGGGACAGAAGTGTTCCCTATGGATTCTTCTATCTTCTATGAATGGCAGGAGGCAGGAAAAGACAGGCAAGTCAAAAAATCTCACATAGAATGTAAATGCAAGCACATGGACAAAGAAAACAGTTCAGTGGTTACCAGGGGAAGGGGAGTGGGGGGCGGGCACAGGGGGTGGAGGGGAGCACCTATGTGGTGACACACAAGAAATAATGTACAACTGAAATTTCACAATGATGTAAACTATTACGAACTTAAATAAAAAAAAAAGTAAATGCCTTTAAAGTTGCCAAATGAGACTGTGGTTTATTGGGTAGAACTCATACCCACAGTGAAACTGCTAGCCCCTAAGTGGTTTTAGATTATAGCTATCCCCAAGCTCTCATAACCTTTATGATCCAAGGAAATGAAGCTCAGACTCAGACAGGAAGCACAAACAAACTGGGGCACATGGGTTTGATGTAACCACTAATACAAGCCAGGAAGATCAATTTTCTCAATGGGCAGATCTTAGAGGACTGATGAGAAGAAGAAGTCCGTGAGAGGAGAGAACGATAAGGAGGAGAAGATCAAGGACAAGGCACAGTTACATGAGGTTGGCCCCTCAGCTTGCATCCACATAAGCACCCATGTTGAGCAGTTTGGTAAAGTGACCAAATGGCTAACTCGTCAAGCTATAGGAAAAGTTGTAAAGGCAACAATGGTATATTTTTGGTACATTTTATCTCCACGTTTTTAACTTTTTGCCACCTCAGAGATGCCTCCCCCTCATTCCTATGTAGGCACTCAGGGCCAAAGAATCACAGAAACTTGGAATTGGAAGAGAGAGGCTACAGTGGTCATCTGGTCCATCTGGTCTACCTCCATCCAAAGAAAGCTTCCCCAACAGGCCTCTAGCCCCTCCTCCTGCACTGCCAGAGCAGGAAACTCAGGGTCTCAAAGGACAACTATTTCTCAGACAACTTCCATTGTTAAAAAGCACCATTCTCTACTGATTCAAAGGCTGCCTGCTTATCACTCCCACTTAATGGTCCTTGTTCTGTGCTCTGAACTAATGTTGAGTAAATTGACTTCTTCCACATGTGTTACCTCATACTGCAGATAGCCATGGCTCCAGCCATTTCTTCTCTTCTCCAAGCTAAACACAACAGCTTCACAATCATTCCTGGTGAAACGTCCAGACCTCATTCACCCAGTTTGGCCTCATCTCAGCATGCTCTCCCTTGCCAAAGACTCTCAAAATGTGCTACCCATTTTTTTTCTTTGTATTCTCCTTTCTTTTTTTCCAACTTATTCTCAGAAATGACCCCTTCAACCTAAGATGCAAATGATTGATCATGCTTACTGTGTGCCTTCCTGGGACTGTTTATATTTTAACAGGTCCAAAGCCTTAAACTGAAAAGATAGCTGGGAATGACTGGCAGCAGGTAATGGCAAGATAGAGGTCAAGAGGAGAAGAGGAAAAGAAATTTTCCTGGGACCCTCAAGATCATGCTTGATACTTTTCCTGAACAGAAGAGCAACCCAACCATGTAATTCACTCAAAATAATGAAACTGGTACCATGAAAGACTTACGTGATTCAGGCAATCTATGGTCCCATCCTTGTCTTCACCTCAGATGAGACTACTCACCTGGCCAGGCAAATCCCCACAAAATGAATTCCTTGAAGGCAGGAACTGGTCTGATTCTTTCCTGGATTGTTGTCAAGTGGGGGTCTGGGTAACATATTAATAGTTCCTCATACATGTCTTCTGGATGAATGAGTGAATGAGGTCAAGTCACAAGGCAGAGTTTGTAGGGACTTAGCTCATGAAAGTTGGCAAGTGGCCCTGGCCAACCAACACAGGGGCCCATCAGTCATGGAATAAGGGGAATGGGTAGAAGTTTGGGGCCACAAGTTACCAGAAGCTGTATCAGATTTCTGGAGCAAGAGGATATAGACAACAACAAAAAGAATAATATAAGCACACATGAAGATTCAATTTTGGCCCTCATCCAAAAGACTTTCTGAAATGAAAAATATGAGTTTTGAAGTAAAAATTTAAACTTATCTGTTGAATTGAAGGAAAGAAAGGTTACTCTTGGGATCTGAATCAGTGGCCTGGAAGATCAAATGGAAGAAATATCTCAAAGTATAGCAAAAATACAAATGGTAAAAACTGTGAAGGAGATAAGCAACTTGGAGCAGAGATCAAGGAGACTTAACATGTGTATAATAGGCATTCCAGACAGAGAAAAAGGAAGAGACGGAAGAAAAGCAGTAATAAACATTAGAAAAAAGGTCCTGAGCTGAAGAAAGAGCTGAGTTTGCAGATTGAAAGGCAGAATTGATGAGAAAAGACACACACTTCGGCTTAGCTTCATAAAATTCCAAAACTCTAAAGATAAAAGAAAATTTACAATCTTCTAGAAAGAAAGAATAGGTTATTTACAAAGGAAAAAGAATGAGATAGATATCATATTTCTCATTTGTAACACTTGGAAGCCAGAAAATGAAGGGACAACACCTGCAGACAACTGAGGGGAAAGGCTGCAGCTCAGGGACCCCACAACCAGCCAAAATCCCATCCACTTGCCAGGAGAAAGAGACTTTGTGGACATGCAAAGAGTCAGAGAATATGTCACCCATATTCTCTCATATAGTACTTGAAAAAAATACTCAAGAAAGTGTTCTAAATAAGTAAATGAATCAGAACAAAGTGATAAATGAATCAGAGCAAAGATTGCACAACAGGAGGAGGTGAAGAATAGAGGTAACATGTCCAATATAAATAGTAAACTCCAAATATACAATGATAAAATTACTGGCAATGTGTGCCATAGGGGCTACATAAGGAATCTTGTAAAAAGAACAGGCATATTGCAAGGGAAAAAAATTAAAAATGATAAATGATCTCAGCAAAATCTAGGAGTGGGAGATACTGGAGAAGTAAAAGCATGTTAAGGCTGGGGGCCCTGGGGAGGAGAATGGCGAAAGTAGTGTAAAGGCTTTCATTCCTCAGGGTGGGGAAGGAGCATTGGAGAAATGGGGCATCTTGTCAGGGTAAACTATTTGGCATCTTGTTTTTATATAATAATAGAGAAATAGACTTTTGATATGAGTGTTGGGAAAGGAGTAGTAATCACTAGTGGAATGGAAAAGAATAGTGGACCTTCCAAATAAACAAAGGGAGGAAGGAAAAAGATAGTAACATGATCAAACTGGTAATCAAGAAAGTGAAAAAGCAAATGCAGGAATGAAAAGTAAAGAGTATAAAGTAAAGTAAGACGGAAGAAATAAAACAAGTATATTGATTGTTACACTAAATATGAAGAAGTTAAGTTATTAAATTACAGAAACACTAAGATTAGGCTAAATATAAAACATTGCTTTATGCTATTTTTAAGAAATACAGTTAAAAGAAAATGATACAGTTAAAAGGAAATGATAAATGTTAAAACAAAGGCATAAGAAAGTTCCAGAAAGAAAGTGGGTGTGGCAACATTAGTGTCAGATAAATTGGAATGATGTTAAAAGGACTAAGAAGAATAAAAATGTGTAGCTTGTAATATTAAAAGATAAAGGTTATGAAGAATCAAAGACAGTCAGAGTAAGCACCAAACAATGTAGCTGCTAAATATATGACAAATGTTTTAGAAATGTAAAGAGAATTTACTAAAACTATACAATTACAGTTGAATTTCAATAAACCCTTTTCAGAATTAAGATCTCATAGACAAAAAATAAATAAGCACATAGAATTGAATGATGAAATTAATCAATCAATTTAATATATATTTCCTTCAAATCAAAATTTTGCATTCCGTATGTCCAACATCAATCAAGTACTTGGCTATGAAGAAAAATTCATAAAATAGAGATTTTACAGGTCATAGTCTGTGCTCATAATCCAATAAAACTAGATATAGAAAGTTAAAAAATACCCAAAGACCCTACGTGCTGGAAATTAAGAAACATTCTTAAATAATCTTTGGATCAAAGAGAAATCAAAACTAAAATTTCAAGCTATTTAAAAACTGATGAAAGTAGAATACTTTATTCCAAAAATTACAGTACACAGCTAAAGCTGTACTCAGGGGAAGATTAATAGCCTTACATTCGTTTGTTGTTAAAGGAGAAAGATCTAAAATGAAAGAAATTTGCATCAATTTTAAAATGTTAGAAAAAAATGAAAATTTAAATAAATCATGAGAAAACAAGAAAAGGAAATCAATAAAATAGAAAACAACCCAAAACATGTAGAAAGGACAAGTAAATCCCAAACTGCGTCTTTGAAAAAGCCAATAAAATGAACAAACCCCTCACAAGCCTGATAAGGAAAAGAGATAGCAAAATTACATAAGAATAGAAATGAGAAAGGAGACAAAGCCGCAGAAACAGGAGAGATTAAAATTATTGTGAGAACATTAAGAGTAACAGTATGGGAACAAAATTTTAATACTAAAGAAAATGGATTATTTCCTAGCAAACACCCAAGTTTGACCAAGACGTAGAAAATTGACTGTCAATTATCGTAGAAGAGATTGGAAAGATGATTCAAGATTGATCATTTAAAGATGCAGCAGGACAACACTGTTTCACCCTGACAGTAGAACTCCTCAGTGTTGTAGAAAGAAGATGAAAATGGGAGGGGAAGGTGGTGACACCAGAGGGAGAAAAGATAAGATTTGGGGAGGAGACAGTGGAGAGAGGGAGAGGGGAGGCGTGATAGGGACAGGGTTTAAGATAGCACTTCCTTTCTGGAGCCCCCTCCTCGCCAACCCCACACTTATATTCCTACTTTCCTTAATGACTGCTTATTTATATTCAGCTGTAAATATTTATGTTCAACTATCATTTGTACAACTAAGAGCTGCCTGTAGTTTGGGGTGATAGTAGAAAAACAGATGAATGTGGGCCCCAAAGTCCTTCTTCCCTCCTGGTGCCCTGCTCCCATGCGACCTCATGTTGGTGGTGAGGATCTGTAAGTTTAGGGCTCCTGCCTCTACTCATTCAGGGGGTCAGTGGGATGGGGAGGTGCTGGTAAAGGTGTGTCAAGATCACTCCAGGGAGCTCTCCAGTCCCATAAGACTATCTGGGCTACTTCACAGGCCCTCTGGGCATCCGTCCATGACCTGTGGGCAGGGTGATCTGCACTGGGCAGACTTTTCTTAGAGGGGTGGGGATTTTCATTTCTGTCCCAGCCTTACCCATGCCCACAAGAAAGACACATCTGTCCACCAGCCTGGCTTAATTAGATATGTTCTACCTCCAGGAGGAGCTTGTTTGACCACATTTGGGAAACACCATTGATTTTCTGCCTCTGAGCCTAAAAAGATGTATTTTTAAACATTTCATCGCTCCTATATGACTTCTGTTGCCAAGATAATTCAGTGATTAACAGTATTTCATCCAGGCAGTTCTTTCTTATACCACACTAGTAGATCATTTGTTTTCCTATTTGTACATAAATATCTGGCCATCTTGATCACAGTGTATTATAGAGTTTCTGGAGCCCTGTAGTTTTTCCAGAGTTGCTGGATGTATTTTTTCTGTTTTCTGAATAACTTAGATTTTATCCATTGGTCTTCAAACGAGTTTGGCAGCTTGTAATACAGTTAACTTCTAATTTCTATGGGGATTAAAGTGGGAGCTTGGGAGGGAAAAAAAACCCCCAGATACCTGTAACCAAAGTGGTTCCTGGTAAATGACAAACTATGAAGTAGGGTGGGAAGAGAAGAGATGGGGAGAGAGAATCTTGTCTAGGTGAGCTGAAAGGATTTTTCAAATCCAAATAGTTCTCCTCTCCTGGAAATTCAATACAAAGCATGGCTAGAAGATAGTTCCCACCAGATCCAATTCTTGGGTGGAGATTCTCAAGGGCTAATGGAGAGGAGAGGGGACTTCCTAGGGCCATTTGCCCATAAGGAATGAACGGGGTTATCTCTGGTTCTGTTATCTCTTGTTAATACCTTGGGGTCTCCCCTCCATTTTGGGTAATTGAGCCCCATCTGTAAGCCTGTCATGGAACTGAAGCCCCCATCCTCCATACAAGAGATTGATTCACTTATCATAGGATGGCGGGACCACCTGGCCTTTGTACTCTTCCAATCCTGAAATTCTTTGGGTCTCCCTGCTCTTCCTGCTGTAAACTCTTGCACTGAAGGGTCATAATTTTTTCTTTCTCCCTTGGTGGTGTGCCTGCTGGCAGCCGGGAAAACAGAGTGAGGAGGCAGGGCAGGGTGAACCTTGGGAGTGGTTTCCAGACGCTTATGTGGAAGGAGGGCCTGGTTTAAAACTGCGCCCCCTAGTGCACATCACTGGGTCTTTCAATTCTCCGGAAGAGCCTCAGATCAGATCTTCCTGATTTGGGTCACATTACTCTTGCTTTCCTAAGAATCTTCACACTATCCCCAGCTTGTAAATGCCTTTGTGGCTATGTTCGTTGTAAAGAAACTGGGGGTGTCTTTTGGGCCTGCCCATTGCCCACCAGCTCCTAACTGTTATTAGGTTGATCACCAGCTCCTAAGTGTTATTATATTGATGTCTGTATCAGGGAATGGCAAATTATAGCTTGTGGCCCAAATCTAGCTTGCTGCTTGTTTAATAAAGTCTTATTGGAACACAGCCTCGCTCATTCATTTACATACTGTCTAAGGCTATTTTCAGATACTGTCAGTTCTACATACTGTCACTACAATGACAGAGTTGAGTATTTGCAAAAGAGACTGTAAGGCCTCCAGAGCCAAAAATACCTACTATTTGAGCCTTTCCAGAAAAAGCTGGCCGATTCCTGATCTACATATAACTCAAGGCTGAAAGCAAGCTAATGAGCATGCTTGGGAACCCAAGTTATGAAACTCATGGGTCACTGTTTGTTCTTCCAGCATGAGGGCTGACCATTTGTTTGAAGTAGCACAGACCTCATAAGGCCTCCAACGCCCACAAGCAAGTAGGAAAATGAAATACATTTCTCCAGCTTCTCACACACTGAGCTCAGGTACTTTCCTCAACTGAAATCTCCGCTCAAAGTTGCTGGTTTGACCTTCACTGAGAAATGCTTATCTTTCATGATAAAAGTCTTATATAGGGTTCTAATTAATTAATTCCTTCCTGCTATGGAATATCATTTTGCTCTGTACTCTTACCATTGAATGTTCAAGACTCCCTATTTAGACACTTTCAGTGTCCTAATTGTCCTTGTTTTGACTTTAAAACTCTATCAGTATGAAATTCCTTTCTTTTATGTAAAGCTATATGTGCCCATCAGCCACTAGCTCTGTGCAGCATGGCACCTTCAATTCTTTGCATGTGTCCCCTGAATTTTCACCCCCTCCATGTCTGCCTAGGAACCACTCAGCAAATTCAATTTTACAGCATCTCTCATTTAGTTAACCAAGCCAAGAAGATCATCTCTTAATCACCTTCCCAAAAAACTAAATATAAATAATAGTTTTGTTTTAAGTCGATGACATTTAAAACACATGCCTTACTTCTAACTCCAGCAAGCCCATTACCAACTTCCTCTAATGTCGCACAATGGATAGTTATGGCAGTCTGGGCAGAGAGAGAAAATCAGCACGAGGGAAGGAGAGTTACAGGTGTGTTTGGTTCCACACAGGTGCAATGAGAGGCAAAGAAGGTAAGTGCTGCAGCTGATTGACCCAGAGTTGAGACCACAGGGAGCAGACACCAGGTCCAGGCAAAGAACACATCTGCCTGGACTTGGTTAGTCACCGCTGGAGGACTTCTCTTCTTCACTGCTTTTCACTGTCAGGTAGTAGATGCGGTTGGCCTCTGGGTAGGTGACTTTGCTGAGTGGGAGCTTGTAGATGTCGGGGTTGTTGGTTGTCAGGAGCAGGAAGATGAGGGTGGAGAGGCAGAAGGGCCAGGTGCCTGGTGGCACGCCAACCTGGAAACACAAGCATTGGGGTCTGAAAATGTTCCCAGGCTCTGGGGAATCTTGGGGAGGAGGATGTGATAGGGGTTGAGGATAGATATCCTCCCCTAGTGATGGCATTTGTTTCTGGATTCATAACATCAGAGTGGTTGGTCTGAGAATTTGAGATGTTGGTACCTCTGGGAACAATGAGAATCTTTTAGTGATGGAGATGAAAATCAGCCTAAGGATAATCTCCCACATCCAGCCAAACACAGGTACCTCCATCTGTCCATCCGTGTTCTCCACTGCTGGTTACATCTCTCTCTTTCAGCTACCCCCTACCCCTCTCCACCCTCCCCCCGAGGCACATATATGCAGTTGTCAGTCCTTCTTTGGACAAACCCTGGATAAACCTTGACAAAAGTGTTGTGTGGAGTGCCAGCTACCATAACCCACTCATGATTCTTCCACAAGACTCCAGATGTCCTGAACCCTGGGTGGGGAAAGGCACTTTAGGGCAGTATTCCAGAGAACCCAAACTCACCACTGACATTATGTTGGTGCAGGCTGCTCCCATGTATGCACAGAACAGGGCTGTGGAGGAAAAAGGACCATTGAGAGTCAGTTTCCAGAGCCCAGCTCCAGTCCTCCCCAAAAGCAGGGTTGCACCCTTTCTCCAGCAGCCTCAGGGTCTGTACCACACTCTGACATTTGGCATGTTCTCCTGACATGATTAGTTATCTTTACAGTTAGGTGTAGCCCATCTGCCACCAGACTGTGTGTTCTCTGAAGGCAGAGATTAAAGGTTACCTATCCTTTTATCCCCTCCCCACTTCCATGGTGCCCTTGCATAGAGTCATGGGTCAATAGGCATCTTTTGTTTGTCCACACTGACCTTTGGGATGGTTTAGCACAGGCTGGATGGCTGGATGATTGTCTGGCGAGTGAGTGGTCAGACTACATGAGCTCCAGATAGGGCCCCTCCTGTCCAAGATCCTGAGCGACCATGATGCAGTTGGACTCTCACCTAGTTCCATTAGGGCTGGACCTTATTGGGTCCCCGACCTGGTCCTTAGGAGCCAGACATCTGGGTTCAACTACATGATGTGGGCACCCAGGACAGTTAGGGGAGCTCGTCCACATCCGTGGTCCCTTTAGACAAGCTCCTTCTGCCCATGAACTTTGCTCTTTCTGTTTCTCTGTCCAGAATACCTTCTCCCCCTCACTTTGTCTATCCAAATCCTACCCAAAAAGTGTTGAGATAAACCCCAGCCTCCCTTTGAAGCCTTCCAAGATGGTTCTAGCCACAGGAATCTGCCACTTCTCTGAAGAGCAAAGACAGTTACAGTCTGAACCTCAAAATATCTGGCCCTTTTGACTTAACAAATATTTACTAAGGCCACTGTCTCCACACCCAGCCTCAGGCTGGCTGCTGAGGGGGATACAAGGGACATGGAAGTCATTTAGAGTCTCCACACATAAGTGGGAAAAAACAAAAGAAAATCTCTCCTGGATGCTATTCTTCTCTTGTCTCTAGTTTTGCTTATTAAAGTCTTGCTGTTTCCAGAGAATAGAAGAAACTCTTGGGCAGGGACGGGCATCTTGCTTCTGAAATTAATAGAACACCTAGCTGTTTTCTAGGGCAAGTTCATTCACCCCTCTGAATCTCATTTCCCCATCTGTAAAATGGGGCTGACAGTCTGTGCAGGTAGTGATCTTGGGAGGATTAAGTGAGTCCCTATGTTTATAAAGCACAGAGTGTGGTGCTGGAGCAGCTACACTAAGGACTGTGGCCGATTTCTTCTCGGACACCGCATTCTCTAGTTACTCAATGGAAATCAAACTTCTATAGCGGTGTGCTATGATTTTCTGAGACCTCAGTTCTCCCAGGTACATCATCTCACTGGATCTTTCTAACAATCTTTTTAGACACCACAGCCTTAATAATTACTTCTTCTTCTGCTAGACTGTGGCTTCATGAAGGTGTGGTCACCACTGTATCTTCGGTGCCTACCCTAGGACCTGGCACTTAGGGTGCCCTCCAAATAGCTGTTGAATGAAGAGCTATTGAGAACAAGAATGCTGCCACTAGCACATGAGGAAATGCACGTGTGATTTCCTTGTGAACTTTACAACACTGTGTAAATATAATTGCATTAATAGTGGTTGTGATTCCATTTGATAGAGGAGGAATCTCAAATCCTTCAATGGTTAAGGACCTAAGCCACTGGTCCTTCTATCACTGCTGCTAGGTTCTGATTAGTGGTCACCAGGGGTTTCACATAACCAAGGGAGGGGGGAAGGAAGAGCAGAGTGACTTGGTTGTCAGCTGTCCCAAATACCCACCACAGACGAGGGCCAGCAGGTGGGTCTGCCAGGTGAGGGCGTAGAACATGCCCCCGATGGCAATGCAGGAGAGGACGCAGTTGTAGCTCCAGAGGCCCATGTAGATCGTCTCGAAGGGCATGGCCACTGTCAGGGCTGTGGGACAAGATGTGGTGTTTCTGGTTGGTTCTGGGTCACAGCACAAAGACGACCCCGTGGCTGGGGCCAGGACTCAGGGTGGCCTCCCTTCTGCTGTTCCCCCCACACCCTTAGCCCTGCCCATCAAAGGAGCCTCTACAAATGGCATCTAGTCTTCAGAAACCAACAATGAGAAGAGAGGAGTGGTTTCCAAACTCACACAGAGGTGTGACTGTTTCCAGGGACTCCGGGCCTTCCCAACTCCTTTGCCCAGAGCAGCTACATTTTTAGCAAGAAAGATTTCAATTGAAAAACTTCTGTTTCAAATGGTTGAGGAAAAGTACGTATGTACACGTATAGACATGTGGAGATAGAAGAATGATACAGAAAGGCGGTGGGATGTGAATAACAGGTGAGTCTGGATAAAGAATTTATAGATGCCTCTTGTACTATTTTTAGATGTTTGAAATTATTTCCAAATAAAAACGGTTTTTAAAGTTGTACTTCCAAGAAGTATTTGGAAAACATTGGGATAAGTCAACAGGCTCCTATTCCCAATGCCCCCAACTCCAATTTCTGACTCTACTACCTGCATATAAATATGCAAATACATATACATACATATTCGTATGTGTAGAAATATTAAATTACAATTGTCAAATGGCAATTCAACTTTTGAGACAAGTTTTTTCTTTTAGCTTACCCCAAATTTCTAACGTCTGGGTCACTTATGCCCCTGGTTGGTCTGCTACTGCTGTCTATCACCACAGGGTTCCCTCTTCCTCCCCACACCTCAGCTCTCAGGGGTTCAGTTTGCAGGCCAACCAGGTCGTCAGTCTCCTTGCACCCCTCCGCATGCTCTGCTACTGTAATCTGCTCCCTTCAGAGACTCAAGCAAGAGAAAATTAAGTCCCTAGACCTGACAGTGTTTAAAAGCTCCAGTAAAGATAATAAGTCTAGAATATTTGCCATGGTGGGGTGAGATGACCCCAGGAAAATTATCACAAAGTCCTCACTGCAGGGGTGGGGGGCGCTGTCCTACCTGCTAGTATTCCCACGATTGAGCCAAAGGCTGCATGCAAACAGATGAGTGGCGAGGAGATAAACAGAGCCACCAGGATCAAGCCGCCTGTCCAGGGATTGTCGCAGCCGTACACCTGGCCAACCCCAATGGGGATGGCTTGTAGCAGCTGCAAAGTCAACAGAATCCAGGTCACTGGAGTGTGGGCTGATAATGTAAAGACCAGGCCTCAGGGCCAGGATTGAGCCATTCCTGGGTGGGTAATGGGGCGGAACAGGAGGATGGCTGTGCCCTCCAGCGTGTGAGAGAGCATGGGAAGGCATGTGCTGGAACAAATAGCTTCTCACTCCACCACCTAGCAGGCATCTGAGCATCCCTCATGCAAAACTGGGCAGGGGTTCTCAACACAGGGGCTGAACATGGGTGCTTCTGAGGGACACATGGCTTCTGCTTTGAGGGGACCAGAGGGCACTTTGTCCCTAGACTGCCATTGGGGGTTTCAGGGCATCAGATTTCCTCTAGACCTTCTGAAAGCCTAGAAATATTTCAGGAATATTGGAAATAGTCTAGGCTATTTTGATGAATGATTTGACCAAATATCACCTAGTTCGTTGGTGGTCAAGCCCAGGCTACAGCCTCTGAGCTTGACCCCTAGTCTATTGGTGGTGGCTGGACATTCAGGGCCACCCTGGGGATTGTGGGGCCCAGGGAAGGAGGAGGAGGCACTTTCTCTGCTCTTGAGGGGCACTTAGCATTGCAGAAAGGTAGTGTATGGAACATCTGGAGAACAGCACGAAGTGCAAACATCCCTGAGCATGAGCATCATTTGGCAGTGTTGGAATTGGAGATGATTAAATTGGCAGTGATGTCAGATGATTTTCTGCCCAAGCTGAGTTGACACATTTTGGTAGTCCTTTGAGGGCAAAAAGGAAAAGAGGGAGATCGGCAAGGTAGGGAGAACACTGGCCTTGAAGTCGAGGGCTCCAGCACAATTTCATTGTGTGACCATGGCATGTCACTTCCTCATTCTGGGCTCTGATGCCCTTCTATGTAACATGATGAGGCTGCCCTTGCAGATGATCTTCCAGCTTTAAAATTCTGCTAACTCTTTTCTCCATTACCAGGTCACATGACCTCTTCGAGGACAGAGCTCCTCTACGACTGGGTACATAATAGGAGCTTAATAAATATGTATTGATGAGCTCAGTGGTTTCCAAACGCCACTGTACGTGGGAATCACCGTAGTGATTTAAAGGTCTAGAAAAAAAAAATGATACCTGGATCCTCCCCAGACATTCTGATTTAATTGGTATGGGGCATGGCTGGGGCCTCAGGGCATTCCAATGTGCAACAGAGTTTGGGGACCAGTAGATTACAGAGAATCTACTGTAGATGTTGGGAGTTAATTGCTTTTCTCCATTTGGATGAAATTTTGTACTTCTGAACAACTTAATGTAATTCTGGAGTCAGTCTGATTTTTTTAGAGAATAGTGTTTGAGGAGTCCTAGAGAGCTTCTAAGCTTTTTCCACCCTTGTCTCAGGCATTGGCTGGGCCAGAGTTTATAGACTTATGCAAGGAATGACACGATGGAGGCCCCATCTTATTTAAAGGAACCCTGAAAACACTTTGTACCAGTCCAGGGAACTCAGCTTAAGTGTTGGGAACAGGTTGGAAATCTACTCAGTAAATATTCCATGACTTCCCAAAGTCTGAGGAATGCAGGATGCTGAGGGGAACCCAACTCCCACCTTCCCACCTGGGAACAAGGTTTTAAGCCCAAGCAGTCAAGAATGAGAGGAATGAGGGAACAAGCTGCTTTGGAATGGAGCCTGGGTTTAGCATGAAGCCTCTTCCGCTGGGACCCATATTTCAGCCTGGTGAACTGTGACCCCAGGGCGGCCTGCCCTCCCCACCACGCTGCTCTACAGGCCACAGCTGACACCCTGGTGTGAAAGGCAGTCAGGTGTGCGGTGGAAATTTACTGAGCACCAGTCTCTTCCACACTCCGGATAATCCCCATGTAACAACAACAAGCTGGTTAAACAAAAAGAAAGTCACTCTCCCCATTGTTTTAAAGAGAAGGAGCAAAATGGTGTTGATTCTTCAAAACTCAGATCTGGATGGGTGGAAGAAAAGGAGCCTGTTGTCAGAGCGGTGGTGTGGTGGAGAGCTCAGAGGGTGAGCTTGGACCTCAGGGTACATGGATTTGGGTCCTACCAGTTTCCTACTGTTGATTTTGACGATGAACAAAAGGCGCCCCTTCTTTGTGGCCCTCTCCACTTTGGTCTCCTCAACACCACACTGGATAGCCTCACAGTGCAGGGAGGGTGGGGGGCCTCGGTGGGCCTTTCTCTCTGGCAGTGCCACATGCCCCTGAAGCTGTCACTTGGAGCATGCCTCATGGCTAGGGCTCAGGCTCAGCCGGACTGGGTCCCTGAGGCAGTGAGCCTAATTGCCAGATGACTGATCACTGATGAGTCTATCAAAGGAAGAGTTTTGTCTCTGCTCCCAGCTGTTTTCCATCTGAGAGGATGGGCTTTCCCTTGAACGCACAGCTCTGTCTTTTCGCTTTCTTGGATTTAGGCCCTAAGCCTGTCTCCAATCCCACTCCAGCCCCAGCCCCAGACAAAGCTTTGAAAAAGACAAAAACTTGATGAAGGTTTTGCATTGTTGGAGGCAGCATTTGCCGCTAGGGGCAGGGGAGCCTTTTTTGGTAGGTTCAGGTTCAGAGTGTGGCTGTCCCTGGAGGGCCTGTGATGTCCTCCCAACCTGGGCGGTGGCCCTGGAACTGAGCCCCCAGGAGCAGGGCCACGTGGAGGTTTAAGCACATCTAGACAACAGGGGCGGTGAGGGCTTGGGAGTCTGATCTCACAAACAATACTTGAGGCACTAGCTGCAGTTTGACCTTGGGCAACTAAGCCTCTCTGCGTCTTAGTCTTCTCATCTGTGAAATGGGGATAATGATGGTACTTATAGTATTGGGTTATTATGAGGGTGGCTTGCAACAGTCTGTGAGACGTAACAAACTTGCTTTAGTGTTAGCTGTTAGTTCTATGTTCATTAACAGGGCCAAAATTTTACAATTCTATATATTTAATCCTATGTTAGATTTTTATTATACCTCCTTATCTCTGATGCCTAGAGATCAGTAGAATCAATGAATATGTACATTTGTGATAATAGGTTATAAAGCAGGGCTTCTCGACTTTGGCATTATTGACATTTTGGACTGGATAATTCTTTGTTATGGGGAAGGGGCTGTCCTGTGCATTGTAGAAGCTTAGCAGCATCAGTGGCCTGTACCCACTAGATGCCAGTACCACCCTTTCCCCCACAGTCTGACAATTAAAAAATGTCTGCAGTTGTTTGCCCTCCCCAGGAAGGAAAATCACCCTTGCTTGGGAACCACTGATATGGAAAGTACATGAAAATTCACCATCTTCGATTGATGATATCTTTAAAATCCTAAGTTTAAATATTTATTTTAGTGCTTTGCCCCTTCATTTAACTATTCATCTTATCTAATATTTTTCCCTAAATCCCATCATTCTGTACTGTCAGCTTAACACTTGTCTGTACAGTTATTATTCTGTTTCCTTGTGTGGAGTGTAGGCTTCACGAAGGCAGGGATGTGGTCTTATTCCCTGCGTATTCCCAGTGTCTGAGAAAGTGCCCAGCACACATTGGGTCTTCAGTAAAGGTTTTTTGAAGGAACATATGGAGGTGGCAGTGACCCTTTTCCGTCCTCTGCTAGGACCCATAATCTGGTGGAGATGCATCTAGGGAAGCTGAGAGCCTGGGTAATCCACAAGCTGGTTACTGAGAATGTCTGCAGTGGAATCAGGGGGTCCCAACTCATCTGCCCTTGGATAGCTTACCAAGGGCATCTCAATCTCTGTCCAGGTGATGTTGGGCACTGAAGATGGAGGCTCCACCAGTGTTGTGGGGAAGAAGAGGTTGTAGTGGCCTGTGGCTGCCAGGTACAGAGTCAGAGCAAGGTTGAAGGGCAGCGTGAAGATCGGGAGGTCCCACTTGCTGAAGATGGAATTCAAGGCACTGGAAAGAACTGGACTGAAGACGGAAGAGACAAAGAGTTAATCACTGTGATCACCCTTAGGTCTATACCATCTCATCAGCTCTGGCCACTGTGCCATCCATTGTCTCCTCTCCTTGGCACAACCATTCCTGGCTCCCTTGAGACTCTAGTGGTCCATTGATGTGGGATTGAGAATAAGCTGTTTAAGGCTACAGCTTTGAGAAACAGATTTTAAAAGTATTATAACTTGTTTTGAATAGAAAACTTTATAAAATAATTTAAGCATTTCCTTGTTTCTTAAATCAAGAAAACGAAACAAAATGTAATCCTTATAAAATATCATGTATTGCCTTTGGATCATCAAGATGTACAATAGCTATTGTCCTGGGCTGTGATAACACTTTAGAAATCTGACCTTCTAGGAGGAGGCTGGCACATAGGTATTGTGTGGGCTTGGATTCAGCTAAATTTGAGCTACTCTGGGAACTGCCACGTGAAGATGGAACCTTCTGTTGTTTGTGTCCTCTCTCTTCTTGCCCTCTTCCTGGAAAGAGCATGGATTTTGGAGATGGATGCAGCTAGGTGCAAGTCCTAAGTCCTACACTTACAGGCTGAGTGAGCAACATTAGGTAATTAATCTCCCTTAGCTTCAGTTTCTTCTAGAAGGGACCTGCCACCCTAGAAACCTAACACCCTTCGTCTCCCACACTCAGTGAGCTGCAGGACAAAACATGAAATCACATGATCTGGTTGATTGGTCTACCTTTAATTAATGACCATGAATCTCAAACAGGCATTGAAGACTGCCTGAAAAGCCTACTACACATCCCCAGCAAATTAGGTCTCCAACTTGCTGAGACAACTATTTTACATTTTCTCCTTTCTCTTCAAATCTTTGCTGTCTGCTTCCCTTTAGTTTCAGCTAACCACCTTGCTTTACTTCATTAAGAAATGACAAGATGAGAAATGCTTTGTTTACCCAACCATAAGATCCACACTCTGACTGCTTGGTTCCCCAAAACTCTGCCTCTCCCTCTGCCTTTATCATACAATGGAAATGTCCCTGCACCTTTGTCAGGCCAATTCTTGTACTTCGGGGTCCAATCTGTCTCAGAGATTTCACTCCTGCAATTCTCTCCTTCCTCTCCTGCAGCTTCGATCTCTCCTTTTCTCCAGATCATTCTCATAAGTATCCAACATGTTGCAGTATCTTCTACCTTTAAAAATCCTCCCCCTTTAAGATGAGGTCCCCTTCAGCTACTGCCCCATTTCTCTGTTCTCCTTCACAGCAACGCTTCTCAAAAGTATTGTCTATCCTTGCTATCCCCATCTTTCTGCTCCTGTTCTTTCCTAAACCTACTCTATCAGTGTGGGTCTGGTGTGTGTCCTCCCTACGCCATGGAAATGGCTCCTGTCCAGTTCACCAGTGACATCTGTCTTTTCAAATCCGTGGCCATTCCCTGCCCCCTTCATTTGACAGTTGGACCCCTCCACTGGACTGAAACACTTTCTCTCTGGGCTACCATGACACTACACCTTCTTATTTCCTTCCTGCTTCCTCTATGCTCCTTCTCAAGTCTCCTTTGGTGGTTCTTCCCATCTCTGCCAGACATTTAAATACTACAAGATCCTACAGCTCTGTCGTGGGTCTTCTTTTTTTTTTTACCTTCTCTTCCTGAGTGATGTCCTTTAATCTCATGGACAAAATATCTTCCTTAAGCTTCTGCCTTCCAAATCTTGACATATCACTAATTTCCAGATTTGTATACCAAATCACCTTCTCAACATCTCTGCCTGGAAGTCTAAAGTTTAATCTGTCCAACAGAACTCTTGATTTGCATCCTGTCTTCCACTGCCGACCTGTTTTTTCTCGTAGTCTTTTCCATGAAGCCAGGCATTCAGGCAAATTATAAGAGTGTACTGAATCTTCTTTCCTTTTCCCCCCTCATACTCCACAATCTCCTAGAAAGTTCTGTTGCCTCTACTTTCCTTAAAATATACCTCAAGTCCAACCACTTCTCACCACCCCAGTGGATGTCACACTGGTCTAAACCACTCTCATCCCTCTGTGGGTTATTACAGCAGACCCCTAACTGTGCTTTCAGCATCCACTCTTGCTCCAGTTAAAATCTGCGCTCCACATTGCAAGCAGAGCGATTTGTTTAAATTTAAACCATATCCTATCACTCTTCTGCTTAAAACCCTTTAACTGCTCCTCAACACAATTGTAATAAAAATCAAAAAGACTTACTGGATCTGCAAGGCATACAGGGTCTGGCCCTCGTCTACTTCTGCCCTCACCCCTGCCACTGCTCCTTCATTCAGGGCTTCAGCCCACTGGTCTTGTTTTTTGAATACACTCCACTTCTCCAGCTGGGGTCTTTGCACGAGCTGCTGCTTCAGCCTGCAACATCCTTCACCCAGATCTTTGGATGGCAGGTGCCCTCTTATCATTTAGGTGACAGCTCGAATGTTGCCTCTGCAAAGTGTCCTTCTCTGATCACCCACATCTGGAACCAATCTCTGTCCCATTTTGCTTTCCTCAAAACAATGATCACTTCTTAAAACGAACTTTTTAATTAATTAATGAGTTTATTTCCATCTTTGCCAAGAAGAACATAAGCTCCAAGAATACGGAGACCCTCTCTTGTTCACAAGTATCCCCAGCATCTAGAATAGTCCCTGCACATGGCAGGCACTCAGCAAATGCTTGTTTGTTTGATAATCTGGAAAATGGCACCACTGATACCTACCTTATGGATGAGATTCCAAGGACTACATGAGTGGAGTAGTGAACTGCTGGAGTGGTAGCTCAGGCTTCAGCCCAGTGAGATTCTCTATGGTTTTTTGTCTTTTAAACTGGGAAGTGGGGGTGGGGCACTGTAGACAAACTGCCAGCTGGTGCAATGAGGCTGAGGCTGTGCCGAGGGACTTAATCTATGTAGTTATAAACCAAATGTGTGCAAATGAAGACAAGTTCCCCCACTCCTCCTGCCTGGGATGTGGGGGACATTAAGGAAATCCCCACAGAACTGACTGCTGTAGCTTTTTGTCCCAATGGATTAAAAAAGACAGGAACCCTAAGAAGAAACATAAATAGCCCAGAATGCTTAATGTAGTAATTTATTTGCAAGCACTACTAAAAAGTAACGGAACAGTACTTAAACTAAATTAAACTAACTGTTTTTAGTAACTCCAGACTTTGAAACTGAAGAAAGACATTTACTTCTTAGAGATGTTAAAAATCACTCAGTGTGTCTGAGAGTTGTGGGGTACAGGGGTTGGGGGACACGGGTTCACCTCAGGCTTCCTGCCACTGGGACACTCTACAGACCTGCTGCGGGTTCAAGGCTCCCATGTGTGAAAGGCTAGCACACCCCTGCACTCAATGAACATCTGTTCCTAATATCTTGACTTCTTTATTCCTTTTCAAGATGAGGTGATTGCACAGCCAGATCTCAATGGATGCTTCTCACTGAAAGAGTCTGTGCTTTAAATGTAGACGTGCTGTTCCAAGAAATCTCTCTGATTCAATTACAGGAGAGTTTTCTGCTTTTGGGTCTTGCTTAGGCCACAGGATAGCTGATTCCCATGAGCCTGGGTTTAATAGTGCAGACTCTGGGTTCTGAATGCTGGCATCAAACACTTTTACAGATATGACCTGGGGCAAGTTACTGAACCTCTGCAGGCCTTGGTCTTCCCTTCTGGAAACTGGGGACAATAATAACCCTACCTTGTTAAGCACTGTGCCTGGCATGGAGGAAATACTCAATAAATGTTAGCCTTTATTATGAGGCTTATCAATTAAGGAAGATTATCAGCACAATTAAAAAAAATGTGGTCCTTGGCTGCTTTAAAGGGGCCCTGTTATTCCAAATTTGAAAGTGATCCCCTGTGTTGCAATGGAACTCTTGGATTTTCATAGTGTCTTGTGAGACAGATCAGTCTGACTATAAAGACACTGGGACCCATGACAGTGCATGTCCCCACCCAGTGTAAGACACAAGCACCTCAGGGCCCTGTGGGTCTGTGGGCAGAGAGAATGAGGCAACTCACCAGGCCATGGCTGTGAAGGTCACAGGAAGCAGAAGCCACCAGTAATAGTCTAACTTCTGGGAGAACACGGCTATCAGCATTCCTACCAACATCCCGTTGTACCCATGGAGTCCTGAGGCAATCGCGGACCTGGGGGTGACAGACAGTCACTTTACCTTTGAATTTGGTGGTGCTCATTGATCCCCTCCTTCCTGGTACTCACAGGAAATAGACAGCTTATTTGACGAATGCTGGGTAGTCATGAGGCTGGCAGCACCTTTCTAGATCACACACACACATCTGATTACCCTTGATGGTCTAGAATTAATTATACACTTTTGCTTTCTCCATGTCTAACCTCTCCTTTGCTTCTCAGAGGAGTCTCAGACTGCTAGGTATAGATGGAAATCTAATAGAAATCTGAAGTTGTGTGTGTGTGTGTGTGTGTAAGTGTGCATGTGTGAAAGAGACTGAGAGGAGGGGAGGAAGGGAGGAAGGAAGCGGAAGGAGGAGGCAGACAGAGAGTGTGTTCTGGCTGCATTATGTGCAGCCCTCTGTAATCGCTGCACTTTAGCTCTCTCTCCCTCTGATGTCTGCCCAGCATGGACGAGCTGAGTCAGCTGTGGATGCGCAGCTGCCCCTCCCCTCAGTACAGCAGGGGGCCGCCCAGAGGCGTGGCGGGATCCAAGCTTGAGTCTGTGGCCTCTTTCCGTTTCATCAGGGAAGCCTTTGTGCACCTAAACTTCTCTCCCTGCTCCTAATAAACCTTGCCCTTGGCCTTTCCAATAGCTCTGCTGGCTGTGGGGAGAGAGGAGTGAGATGAAGGAGGGACTGGGCAAGTCCAACTGCAAGGCCCCTGCCGGAGAATGAACTTTGTGTTCTGTGGTCTATCCTCCTGCCCTTGACTGTACGTTGCATGGGCTGAAGCTTGTCCATTTGACATCAGTGTGACAAGGGTCAACAGCGTCTGGTGCATGGAAGGTGCTGGGTGAGGGGTTGTTGAATGAATGTGTGTGCATATTAAATATTATCACGTACTCACTGTTCTTGCAAGGTAGAGGCAACAGGATCATGGGTGCCCTGTGATGGAGGAAGGGAGCTCTGGCTAGAGGAGGGTTCCTGCCGAGGAGAGGCCATGACTTAGATCTGGAGTGTGGGGATGTTTCACCTCTGGAGTGACCAGGAGGTCAGCTCACCTGGATGAGGGAGAGTGGGAGGCGGGGAGAGGGTGGGAGAGACAGAGTCTCCACATGGTTTCCAACAAGAAAAGCTGAGCACGGGGCACTTGTGAGAAGACGCTTGTACTGGGCTCAGGACAAGCTGGTCTTCAGCTGTTCCCGAGGCCAGGAAGGTATGGGGCAGCTTGAGACAGGCACGGGGCTGAGAGGGAACAGGGTCTGCGGGGAAGACCGCTGAGGTTCAGAATCTCCTCAGGACTAGAGTAACTACCTGAGGAGCAGAAACTCGTGTTTTGGGAAAATCATTATTTTTAAGTGGTTTGCATTTTCTGTATATTTTCCCATTGTGTTCGGTGTTAGAATTTAGTACCTTTTTGGTTTTAATAGAAGCTGCTTCAGGTGAACTGAGCAAAGACAGTCGGTCCATCCTGGGGAGGCCCTGCAGCCCCAGTGGCTGGGTGTAACAGGGGTACAGGGTTCAAAATGAGGGAACCCAGGGGAGGTGAAATTAGGGGGATGTCTAAGGGCTGCTCCACGGTTGCCCCTTCCGTGGAGAGTCCCCTCTCAGGATTCTTCTCTTCCAAAACTTCGGTAGCTTCTGGGCTTGGCTATCAAAAGGAAACTCATGACCTTACATCTCTGCCCTGGCCAACGAAAATAGAAAATTAGGTTCAACCCGATACCTAGAAAATCTTCATCAGGACCACCTTCCGTTAGGACACTGAAGTATCAGTGTTGTTGACCTTGAGTTACTATCTGTAAAGTCCAGTCTTTGGGCTAGTGGGGTGGGGTTGGGCTAGTAGGGGTAGGGATGGAGAATGAGGGAGTGCTGGAGGGGGAGTGGGAGTGGGGGAGTAGGAGGGGCAGAGGTTATGACTAAGATATGCAGCCGTGTCAGTGGTTTGTTGGCGACAGTGGTGAAGTCGGGGCTCCTTGGAAGAACGTGTGTGTATGAATGTTGTATAGGGTGCCTAGAGTTTTGAGCCTGTGATGTAGAACATGGTACTGATCTATCAGGACTGAAGCTTGAATCTTTTCTGGGCACCGTGGTGGAATATGGAACATGTGAAATGGACTCCCTGTCCTGAACATGCTTAGAACCTAGCCAGGGAGAGAAGACTCAGAAAGCAATTAGAGAATCATCCAGTACAGTACTGAGTATGTTCTGTGGTTGTTCAGAGAGAAAGGAGGCATCAGAGTGCACTGGGGCATTCCGGGGTGGCTCCCTGGAGGAGGAGGGATTTGAAGGAATGGTAGGATTAGACAGGCAGAAGCAAAAGTGCTGAGTGTGATGCTGAGTGGTAGGTGGGGTGGGGCCCATCAGAGAAGGCTTTGGAAGCCAAGCTGAGGGGTTGGGTTTTTATTTGATGCATATTTGTCTTGAATTCTTAATTAGGATGTTTGGAAGGATTAGGCAGGCATGCTGTGCATCTCCTTAGTAAAACTGAAGTCTGTGAAGCGACTGTTTGAAGGGCTTGGCAAGTTTACTAGTAGATTATGGTTGGGCGGAAAATCAGAGAATCAGACTGTCAGCGTGGGAGGGAACTTGGCTCACTGAAGGTGAGGACAAGGGGGCCGAGGGGGGAAGGGCTTGCCTGAGGTCTCAAAGCTAAGGAGTCAGAGGGCTGGACAGAGTTCACCCCAGGTGAGTTTTAGCAAATAGCGATGAAGCAGTAAGACTAGAGTTGATCCTGTGAGGGGGACCAGTTCTATGCCAGCTGCCCATGAGACTGTAGGTAAGGGGAGCAAGGAGTGGGGAGCCCACTGGTTGAAACAGAGACACAAAATCCTGGCTAGAGCCCATTTTTCATCTCACCCACCAGACCTGCACCCGAAAGAATTCAGCTTCTCATCCGTCTGACCTTGAATGGCCTCCCAGCTTGCTAGAATCAAAGTGGTCCACCAAGGCCTCCTTAGAGATGCATGAACAGCTTCTCATAGAGACAAGGTGACACACGGATTTACCTCGATGGGATCTGGGAAGGTCAGGGGGGCCTGGAGGAAGTGCAACGCTGGTTACAGCACAACCAACTCTAATTACGCCTAGTGCTCTGGGCTCACCAAGGGGCCTCTGGCCGCACTGGCCACTCCATCCGTGTACAAGGAGAGCACTGACCTTCAGCCTAGAAGATGTAGGTTATGGGTCTGAACTTGAGCCCTGCCACTCCCTGGCTGTGGCACCGTGGGTGAGCACCTTACCCCTCCCAGTCTCTTTTCTCTCCCTTGTAAAATGTAGACCCTATTATTTTCACTGTCTGCTTTGTGAAGTGGCAGTAAGAATTACGTGAAACAAGGCACAATGGTGCTTTCCAATCTTCTCATAATAACCCACAGTAAGGAGGGAATATATTTTATAGTATGCCCCAGTTCTCTCTCTCTTTCTCACACACACACACCCCTATATGAATGAAACAAAAATTTCACAAAATAATATTTACTTTTACTACACATGAATTACTCTAATCTGTTTTATTTTATTCTATTGTTTTAATTTTTTTAAAATGCTGTTGGTAATTAATTCATGACCCACAAATGGGTTGCAACCCCCAAATTGAAAAACACTAAGAATATGGGCATTCCCAAACTTCTCTGAGCATCAAAAGCACCTGGGAGGATCTTGTTAAAAACACCTCCTCCCAGATCCGCTGAATGAGACTATCCCAGGGAGGGAGGGGTGCATGGGGCTGGGAAACTATATTTCTTAACCATCACCCCAGGTGATCAATTCTGGCCACCAGGAAAATTTTGGAACCGTTGGAATAACACACAGCACAGTCTGAAGAAATGGTCAACTTCTATGAAACGCTAGTTGTTATTGTCACTGGACTGTGGGAGAGCTGGCCCCTCCCCCGGGCCTGCCTCCTTGCCTCCCAGAGCTCAGGTTTGTTCCCTTTCCTCCATGCGGCCTCCCACACTACCCTCCTCTCTCCCATATCTCATGTTTCTAGCTCAAAGACATCCATCTGTAATCTTCCCAACAGTTAGTGATCTGCCCTCTCTGAACTCCCATTGTATATTGTCTTGTATCATTCTGAGACATTTTTTGCCTGTTAGTCTCATCTCCCTCGACTACATGGTAGGCTCCATGAGGGAAGAACAACTTAAGTGTTCCTCTACACCTGCCTCAGAAGGAGTGTTTCCAGAAGGCTCTACAGTCAAATGGAGCCTGGTGCTATCACTTGTTGTGAGCATAGAAGTAGTTTAATTCTCTAAGGACCTCCAGTGACCTATTCAAAGTCCGTACTCAGGAGTCTTTGGGCTGGTTCGTAGGATGAGGTTGGCTGATCACTCAAGTAAATGTCTCTCCACCTGTCTGCCCCAAGATCCCAAGACTCCTCATACAGAGGGACCCACCTGTCTTGGCTCAAGGTGAGGGCAGTTAAGGTCGAGACCACGGTCCCCAGACACCCAGCAATCGTCCACCAGGGATTCTGGATCAGGAGTCCAATGAAGATGATGAGCCCGCTGAGAGGGTTGTTGACCAACATCACCTGAGCAGTCCCCCTCAGGACCCAGTCTACAAACTGGAGGGCCAAGGACTTATCTGAAAGAGACAGGCAGAGCCATCAGCAGGATCCAGCCTGCGCTTCCCTGCTGGGCCAGTGGTTGGTGTGGCAACCAAGGCAAACAAGGATGCAGGAACCAGCTCATTTCTCCTCATTCAGCCTGGCGCCCAGCCCAAATCTCTGAGTGGCCCAGCAATTAGTCCTCAGTGGGTGTTAGTTTTTGCCATACAGATTGAGACACCATGCCTAGACCAATTTAACGCCGTTCCAGCCATTGGCTTGGTTGGCTAGGAAGCCCCAGGGGCATTCCAGGGGAAATTTATTAGTCCAAGGGAAGAGGTGAGGAGGGAAGGAAACTCTCTTTTTGTGTAGTGCTGTATGACTCAATTGAGGGCTGGTATCTGAGAAGTAAAGAAAGCAGTCTGGAGAAAGGAAGCTGAGAAAGAAATGATTTTAGCCCAGCTGTGAAATAAGTCAGGACCCGGGGGGAAGCCATACATTCTGCCTCGTTCTCTGGTTTAGTTTCCAGGATAACCTATACAGGTGGGGGGCGAGTGGAGGTGGCCAGAGTAGGGGTGTTTGTTGGAGCATTTAGTTTAGGGAACACAAGAGAAAGAATTAGTTAAAAGGAAAGAACCCTGGAACACTGGGGAGTGCGATGCCAATATTTTCTTGGCAGATAATAAATGGCTGTGGAACAAGTGGAGGAATGACCATTCAGCTTATTTGGGAAATGGTTTATATGTTGCTAATGTGATTGTCCTATAGCTATGGCATGTGGAAGTCAAGAATTTGCAAACAACCCAAATCAGTGAAATTCATTGAATTCTGAAACTGGGAATTCCAGGTTAGCAGAGTACATTATGCCCACTGGAGTCAACACAGAGCTGGAACACCCCAACTGGGAAAGCCCTCATCATGGGTGAGTGAGGCAGCAGCTTCCTCAGTCCAAGCCAGAGGGAGGGCCGTCTCCTTGGCTGGCCTGCTTCTTCTTCCCCAGGCATTTGCCTACCTTTCAGCCAGCTCCTGTACTCCTTCATCTCACCAGTGATGCAGCCCACTGCTTGGAAGAGGCTGATGCCCTCCTGGCCTGCAAAGCCCCGATCGGCTGCCTCTCTTTCTCTCCTTTTGTTCTTTTCATTGGATTTTTCAATTTTCACAATGTGGCTATCTTCATTGGATGGTCGGAGATTCTTTCAGGAGAGGTCATGACAAAATGTCAATTAATATAGCTTTTTGAGAGCAGAGGTATTTGGGGATAAGGAAGGTTATTAGGTTTTTTGATAAAGATAAAGGGTCATAAGACACATATCTATTGTCTAATGCTGTTCCGAGTGCCCTACACAGGCCTGCTCTTCCCAGGACAACTCCACATTCTTCACAGAAGGGTTTCTTAGCCTTTTGTGTCACATATCCATTTTGGCAGCTTCGTAAGCCTGTGGACTTCTTTCCAGAGTAATCTTTGTAAGTGAATAAAGTAAATAAGATTACAAAGAAAACCAATTATATTGAAAAGTAGTTACCACAATATTTTAAAAAACTTTAATATACATATTGGTGTGTAGACCCAATAGCAATTATAATTTCAAAGTAGCAATAAGTGAATATGTAGGGCCTCCTCACCCCAACTCAGGACAACTCTATAGAGCCATCCAAGCTCCAGAACTCACCATCAGATCACCTAAGGCCTTTATTATGACTGCATCACAGCCCAACTTCTCCATCTGCCTAATCCTGCCACTTTTATTCCTCTACAAGTATTGACCCCAAGGGCATACACCAGTAAACTTCTTAAATGCAAATTTCCATTTCAAAGTCAACTTTTTAGGGGAACCCAATCTGTGATAATGACAAAAATCTCAGGTACTACTAATATGGCTGTTGTTCATTGTCTATATTTATAATTGAAGTAAATGCTAAAGTTCACCGGAGGTTAGTGAAATAAAGATAAATTATTTTCCCCATGTAAGTTCATACCCCCTTCATTTCTATCAATGGACACTTTAGTCAGGACTCCTTGCTTTAAAGCTGTCCTGTCCAATTAGTAGCCAATAGAACGTGTGGCCATTGAGCACTTGGAATGTGGCTAGAGAATTAATTAGTGAATTAATGAGTTAAGATGTGCTCTAAGTGGATATTGAGGACTTAGTATGAAAAGACAATGTAAAATAGCTCAATGATATTTTATATTGCTTACATATTGAAATTATAATATTATATATTTTATATGAATTAATCTAAATAAAACATATTATTAAAATTCATTTCACCTACTTCCTTTTACTTTTTTAAAACATTGTTAATAGAAAATTTTAACTCAGATATGTGGTTCACACTATATTTCTATTGCACACTGCTAGTCTACGGATTTCTCCAACCTCCTCCCTGCATCAAAACTTAAATGTTTTGAGGATGTCAGTGAAAATGATGGAGTAATGACCTCCCCAAATTTTCTCTTCTGTAAAAGCAATGAGAGCACTGGAAAAAATTGTGCCTGAGGCGGTAGACAACAGTTGGGGAAAACAATAGGCTAATAAAAAAGCTTAAAAGGAAAAACTGGGGAATGAGATATCCAAAGGGGGCTTTAAAAAGCTTGGACATATTCCCATGAATCTAGAAGACTTCATGCATGCACAGGGCTGGCATATGCCCAGGATGATGTGGATGCTCAAGAAAGACCTGAGAAGTCCCTAAGTGCTCACCTCTGGCTGAGTTTGAATCTTTAGGCAAGCAGGAAGTAAAGACTAAGGTGGAGTTGGAAACTGCGTGGTTGAGTGTAGAAGATATTCTCCACAATGCACACAGATCTCCTTAACAAAGACTGAGAGGCTTATCAATTCCAGGCATCTAAGGAAATCTCTGTCTAATCATTAGCTCACCACCAAGCTAACTAAGCAGAGATTTCAGTGGCTACAAATGACATTCAATACAGAATTAGTTCTGAAAGGCCATTAAACAAACAAACAAGCAAGCAACAGCAAAGCCTAGGGAGAAGGAAGAATCTTATTTCCAGAGTTGCCACATTATGTTATTTAAAACACCCAATTTTCAACAAATAATTATGAGATATGCAAAGAACATTATATAGAACAAGGGAAATAAAGAAGTCAATATAAACTGTCCTTGAGGAAGCCAAGACATTGGAGTTATTAGACAAAGGCTTTAAATCACCTTAAATATGATCAAGGACTAAAAGAAAACCATGTCTAAAGAACTAAAGGAAAGTATGAAAATAACATCTCACCAAATAGGGAATACAAATAGAGAAGAAGTTATAAAAAACAAACAAATAGAAATTCTGAAATTGAAAAGTACAATAATGGAAACAAGAAACTTGCTAGAGGGGATCAACAGAGGATTAGAACAGTCTGAAGAAAGAATCAGAAAACTTAAAGATAAGTCAATTGAGATTATCTAGTCTGAGGAACAGAAAGAGAACAAAATGATGAAAAAATGAACATAGCCTCATAGACCTATGGGACACCATCAAGTGTATCACCATATGCTTAATGGAAATTATATAAGGGCAGGAGAGAGAAAAGGGCAGAAAATATTTGAAAAATAATGGCTGAAAATTTCCAAAATTCAAAAGAGAGAATGAGGACAGTCTAAGGGACCTATGGAACAACATCAAGTGTACTAACATCCATATTATAGGTGTCCCAGAAGAAGAAGAGAGAGACAAAGGAATAGAAAACCTATTTGAAAAACTAATAGCTGAAAACTTTCTTAACCTAAGGAAGAAAACAGACTTCCATGTACAGGAAGCACAGAGAGCACCAAACAAGATAAACCCAAAGAGGCCCACACCAAGTCACATATAATTAAAATATCAAGAATTAAAGATAAAGAGAGAAAATCCTAAAAGCCACAAGAGAAAGGCAATAAGTTAGATACAAAGGAAACCCCATAAGGCTATCAGCTGACTTCTCAGCAGAACCTTACAGGCCAGAAGGGAGTGGCATGATATATTTAAATTGCTGATAGAAAAAAACCTATAGCCAAGAATACTGTACCCGACAAGGTTAACATTCAGTGTGGAAGGAAAGGTAAAGAGTTTCCCAGACAAGCGAAAACTAAAGGAGATTGTCACGAAGAAACCAGCCTCACAAGAAATTTTAAAAGGACTTATTTAAGTGGAAAAGAGAAGACTTCAAATAGGAATAAGAAAATTATATTACGAAAAGCAATGAGATCACTGGTAAAGGCAAATATACAATAAAGGTAGCAGATCAGCCATCTATGAAGCTAACATGAAGGTCAAAAGGTGAAAGTACTAAAATTATCTATTTCCATTATATGAGGGCAATAGATACAAATGCACAAAAAAGAGGTTAGATATGATATCAAAAACATAAAATGTGGGAGGAGAGGAGTAAAAGGGTAAGGCTTTTACCAAGAGGTCAAATTAAAGAGACCATCAATTTAATATAATCTGCTTTATATGTAGGTTATTATATATGAACCTCACGGCAATCACAAACCAGAAACTTATAATAAATACACAAAAAATTAAGAGAAAGGAATCCAAAAGTAATACTAAAGAAAGCCATTAAACCACAAGGGAAGAGAGCAAGAGAAGAAGAAAAGAACAGAGAAGAACTACTAAAACACCCAGAAAAAAATAACAAAATGGCAATAAGTACATTCTTATCAGTAGCTACTTTAAATGTCAATGGATTAAATGCTCCAATCAAAAGACATAGGGTGGCCGATTGGATAAAAAAACAAGACTCCTATATATGCTGCATACGAAAGACACACTTCAAACCTAAAGACACTAACAAACTGAAAGTGAAAGGATGGAAAAAGATACTCCATGCAAATGACAAAGAAAAGAAAGCTGAGGTAACAATATTTATATCAGACAAAATAGACTGTAAAACAAAAACCGTAACAAGAGACAAAGAAGGGAACTACATAATGATGAAATGAACAATCCAACAAGAGGATATAACTCTTGTAAATATCTATGCACCCAACATAGGGGCACCTAAATGTATAAACCAATTATTAATAAACATAAAAGGAGAAATACACGGCAACACAATAATAGTAGGGAACGTTAACACTCCACTTACACCAGTGGATAGATCATCCAAACAGAAGATAAATAAAGAAACATTAGCCTTAAATGACACATTAGACCAGATAGACTTAGTAGATATATATAGAACAGTCCATCCAAAATCTGCAGAATACAGATTCTTTTCAAATACACATGGAACATTCTCCAGGACAGATCACATATTAGGTCACAAAACAAGTCTCAATTAATTTAAGAAGACTGAAATAATACCAAGCATCCTTTCTGACCACAATGGTATGAAACTAGAAATCAACTACAGAAAGAAAATCCGAGAAGCCACCAATATGTGGAGATTAAACAAGATGCTACTCCATAATGCTGTGTCAATGGAGAAGTCAAAGGAGAAATAAAAAAATACACGGAGACAAATGAAAATGAAAATATGACATGCCAAAATGTATGGGATACAGCAAAAGTGATTCTAAGAGGCAATGTTATAGCAGTACAGGCATGCCTAAACAAATAAGAAAAATCTCAAATAAGCAATCTAACAGTGCACCTAAAGGAATTGGAAAAAGAAGGACAAACAAAGCTGCAAATCAGTAGAAGGATGGAAATAATAAAAATCAGAGCAGAAATAAATGAAATAGAGACTATGAAAAAAATAGAAAAACATCAGTGAAACTAAGAGCTGGTTCTCTGAAAAGATAAACAAAATTGACAAACCTTTAGCTAGACTCACCAATAAAACAAGAGAGAAGGCTCAAATAAATAAAATCAGAAATAAAGAGGAGAAATTACAATGGACACCCCAAAAGACAAAAGATTATAAGAGAATACTACAAAAAGCTATACACCAACAAACTGGATAATCTAGAAGAAAGGGATAAATTCTTAGAAACATACAACCTTCCAAAACTGAATCAAGAAGAAATAGAGAATTTGAATAGACCAATCACCTGTAAGGAAATTGAAACAGTAATCAAAAACCTCCTCCAAAATAGAAGTCCAGGACCAGATGGCTTCCCTGGTGAATTCTACCAAACATTCAAAGAAGACTTAATACCTATCCTTCTCAAACTCTTCTAAAAATTTGAAAAAGAGGGGAAGCTCCCTAACTCATTCTATGAAGCCAAAATTACCCTGATACCAAAACTAGACAAG